TATATATGTATTTATATAAATTCATATATATTTATATACATATATATGTATTTATATATATACATATATATTTATCTATATATATTTATAGATATAAATATATATATATGTATATAAATTAAAACTCTGATGAACCAGATTCTACAAAAACATTACATTTAAATTTTTATAGGTTTTCATCATCATTTGATGTATTTGCACTCATTGTGTCTACTTTTAATGTTCATTTTAGATGTGTGGTTTTCTTTCTTGTTCACATATATGCATTTTATTTTTAGCTTTGCTTTAAAGTTCTTGTTTTGTGACTTGTACATTTGTGGGTTAAAATAAAGTTGAACTGAAGGTCGTCTCTTTTCTTTAAACATGTTTGAGGGAAATATTCCTGAGATCCAATAGTTTTGTGTCTTTTTATGATTTTCAGCTGAGTTAACAGTCATTAAAGTGAAAACAGGATTTCATGATGAAGCTGGCACCGTCTTTTTTTTTTTTTTATCTTCAACGCTCTGCTGGTCTCACTGATCCTCTCCTCCGGAGAGGAGGAGGCTGGGAGGCTCATCTTCCCAGCTCCAGCTCAGCTGGTGACTCACAGAGTCCGTTCCAAGACCCCAGCCGTGCGTAATCATGAAGGCCCGACCCGCGCAGACAGGCAGACAGAGACGGGTCTGCGACGAACAGTGGAAGCGATTTTAAAAAACATTTTACGTGTAAAAAAAATAATAATCATTTTTAAATCGCTTCAGCAATTTTTTAAAACATTTTTTGTATAAAAACAAAATATTATTTTATTTAAAAATCGCTTCCAGCGTCCGTCCTAGACTGTCCAGTCCGCCTGACTGCCGGGCGGGATCGGGATTCAGCCTTCATGATTACGCACGGCCGGGGTCTCGCAACGGCCATCTGCGAGTCCGCATCTCCAGCTTCGCAGTGACCAGCGGAGCTCTGAGCACACAATGCTGGTATCCGGAACCCGAGCCTCCGAGTCGGCACATCGAAGGATCTTCAGTGGTGACCAGCTGAACTTGGAGCCGGGGAGATGACGCTCTGCCCGGCCTGGCGCTCCGAGGCTCCGGAGGGAGGATCGTGGTAGACCAGCAGAGCTCCATTCAGCTTGCTCTGAATTATGTTGTCGGCCACCAAGCACAAAAAATGCCAGCACATCAACATTAGACCAAGATGTTGTCAGTATTGTTTTTAAAATCTTTAAAATAAATCCAGCCGCTGATCCAGTCCGAGAAATTGCAAATGGCGGATCATTGTTTTGAAACGTTTCTGAAGGATCCAGTGACTCCGCCCCCGGCTCCGCCCCCGACCAATCAGTGACCGACAGTGTACTGACGTCACATTTTTGTACCTCTTCGTACCGGTTAGAACCACAGAGCCAAGGGTACTGAAAATAGTAACAGGTGCTAAGTACCGGTACTAATGGAAAAGCCTCAGAACCGGGCCAAGTAGGGTCGAGTCGGCCCGTACCGGTACTAATGGAAAAGGGCTTTTAGTAAATCACTGCTTTCCCCTGCTCAGCCGTCTGATGGTTTGTCAGAATCTCCTCGAGAGTCTTTATCCAAGGCCTCTCCAAACTCCTCCCACATCCGACCTTTTGCTTCAGCTGTGGACCGCTTGGTCCTCCGGTACTCCTCAGCTGCCTCTGGAGTCCCACCAGCCAAAAAGGACCAATAGGACTCCTTCAGCTTGACAGCCTCCCTAACCCGGGGTGTCCACCACCGAGTTTGAGGATGGCCACTGCAAGAAACCAGACAACCTTGCGGCCACAGCTCAAGGCAGCTTCCTCAACAACTGACAACATGGTCCACTCCGACTAAATGTCCCCCGCCTCAGCTGGGATGTAGTTAAAGCTCTCCCGGAGGTGTGAGTTGAAGAGCTCTCTGACAGGTTCTTCTCCCAGATGTTCCCAGCAAACCTTCACTACACGTGTGGGTCTACCAGGTCTGTCCAGCATCTTCCCCCACCATCTGATCCAAGTCACAGTTGAGGAGGTGATCAGTTGACAGCTCAGCTCCTCTCTTCACCAGAGCGTCCAAAACAAACAGCCACAAATCAGATGACATGACAATGAAGTAGGTCATTGATCTATGAACTAGGGCGTCCTGGTGCCAAGTGCACTTATGGACACCCTTATGTTCACGACACCCCACGTGGAGTTCATGATGGACAAACTATGACTAGCACAGAAGTCCAACAACAGAACACCACTCGAGTTAAGATCAGAGAGGCCGTTCCTCCCAATCACGCCCCTCCAGGTTACACTGGCATTACCCACGTGAGCATTGAAGTCCCCAGCAGAATAAAACAGTCTCCAGCTGGAGCACCTTCCAGCACCCTCTGCCAAGGACTCCAAGAAGGCTGGATACTCTAAACTGCCATTTGGCACATAGGCACCAACAAGAGTCAGAGCTCGTCCCTCCACCCGAAGGCGCAGGGAAGCTACTCTCTCATCCACCCTCTCATCTACTGGGGGAAACTCCAACACACAGGCACCAAGTCGGGGGGCCAAAAGTAGACCCACACCAGCTCGGTGCCTCTCACCACGAGTAACTCCAGAGAGGAATAAGGTCCAGCTCCTCTCAAGGAGATCGGTTCCAGAGCCCATGCTGTGCATCGAGGTGAGTCCAACTATATCTAGCCGGTACCTCTGAACCTCACGCACAAGCTCAGGCTCCTTCCCCACCAGAGAGGTCACGTTCCATGTCCCAAGAGTCAGCTTTGTCAAGCCAAGGTCAGAGTGCCAAGGTTCCCACCTTCGGCCACTGCCCATGGCGTCATGCATCCAACTCTTAAAGAGTCGGGTGCATGAAGAGAACCCGTCCATCATTAAACAGGGGCGGAGACCTCCATGTCCAACTGTCCCCCTCTTACAATGCTGGTATTGCTAGTATCACTCAGCCCCCTGTGAATAGCAAACAGCCATATTTGTTAGGCTGATGGCTCCTTTATCATGCGAACAGTTAGATTTGGATATTAGCAATAAACTGGTTGATCCACTATGAGAAGGTACTGTTTAGGACTGAGATTATAACAGCTCCTCAGACTCAAGAAGTCTTTTGGATAAAGGACGAAACGTTTCAACAAATAGAATCCATCCAGAGGACCTGGCTTTACGATTTTTGATGTTAGGAGCAGAAATGTTTGGTTGTCAGGTGTGTACATTTATATCTGTCTACATGGATTTATGTTGGAGATATAATTTAAAGACTCTTCACCTCATTTTAATGGAACATTTCGGAGTTTCAATGCAATAAGAGTGCACGAGAGTGCATGACAGTGGGTGTGTGCAGTCAGAGGATCTGAGAGAAAACTGTCCGATAGCAGTACAAACAGTCTGGATGAAAAGGACATTTGAATGTACAAACTGCATGAGAAGTGAAAAAATGTGTCAAGAATTCTGGGCATGATTCGAAAAGAACGAGCCCATAAAAATAATGGAAGGATGGTTCTGACCCACAAACACATCAGCTGAGGAGCCCATCTACTGGTCAAAGTGTACAAATATTATTAATAAATAATAATGATAATAACAATACATCCATCATCTTTACCCATTTCTTCTTTTTTGGGTCACTGGTGCCCATGTCCAGCAGTCACTGTGTGAGAGGCGGGGGACACACGGGACTGGTCTCCAGTCCATCACAGGGACACAAAAACTAACGAGACAAACAACCATTCACTCTCTCTCTCACCTAGAGACAATTTAGAGTTACTGATCAGTCTAACATGCATGTTTTTGGTCTGTGGGAGGAAACTGGAGTACCCCGAGAAAACCCACGTTGCACAGAGAGAACATGCAAACTCCACCCAGAAAGGCCCCCAGCTGGGGGCAACCTTGTTGCTGAGAGGCAACAACTGAGCCACCGTGCTGCCAATAATAATAACACAACAACAACAACTATTATTATTATTATAACAATAATAATAATATAGCAATAATAATATAATTATTATTATAACAATAACAACAAGAGCAACAACAACAATAATAATAATAATAATATAATAAAAGTGTTTCTGTACATTGGAACCTGAAAAATCGAACTTGTTTCTGAGTCTTGTGTTGAAACAGAAGACAAAGAGGCATCAGAGGCTGAAACAGTTTAGATCAAATATTAATGTATTATTTCATGTGACTCGAACTATGAGAGAATGAATGCTGTAAAGTGTCTGTAGAGAAATGACTTGTACTTCCTGAGTTGTGTCGGGACTGACCTGGCAGGAGAAGTGATGGTGCACAGCCAGACTCAGAGCCTGTTTCTTCAGAGCAACAAGAGCCGCAGAGCACTTCTCACAGCACCGTCCGGACCCCCCGGAGCCCCGGCCCCCCGGAGCACAGCCCCTCCACGGCCCGCCACCAAAAGACATCCTCATGCGCTCTCCCAGAGACACATCGTCCGCTCTGTGGCTCATGGTCGGACGCGGGTCGTCCCGGACCCTCAGGAGCGGAGACGCGTCTCTGCGCTCTGAGGGACAAATCACCCAGAGGAGGTGCGCGTGTGGGTGGAGGGTGGGGGGTTAGATGGTAATGGACGTCTGCAACTGTAACCACACCCTAATGTATTTAGAGCAACATGATGCTGCTTCCATTAAAAACTCCATTCTGAACAAATGTCACTCACCCCACGCGCTCCTGGAGAAAAGGATCAAAATGTCCCCCCACCCGCAGTCACTGATGACATCACGAGCTGGAAATGTTTACGTGGAGCTTCATGTTGTGTGTGAGAGAAATAAAAAGTCCTCCAAAGTGAAGAGTAGGAGGTGAGAGGAGGTGAGAGGAGGTGAGAGGAGGTGAGAGGCGCTCCGGACGGGAGCAGCAGCGGGTGGTTCCAGAGTCCTCCACCAGGGGGCAGTGACGAGCAGCGTGGCACGTTGATTACAGTAGCTGTGACCAAGGATTACTTTCTACATGTTTCACCCTAATCTGTCCAGTGGTTCATGAGCTATTTTGCTAACAGACATACAAGTTCACCTTCAACAGCCACAGCTAAAGTTTAAAGCAAACTTATTGCAGAGTGAGTATGGTGCTTGGAGGATGTGCTGCTAAGTAGTCTCAGCTACTACCACAGCACTTTCTGTAAAACTGGCTGAACTTTTTGTGTTTTCTAAGGTGAGCTGGCTGTGACGTCATCTTGAATTAGGTTGGCTCCAAATGTTTATCAGTTGTGGAGGAACATCCAAAGATTATGTCCTGAACGTTTCATTAATCTCTCTGCTGATTCAGAAGGTATTTTGCTAATAGAAAGCTGGTCACCAGATAAAGTATTAATGGCAGACAAAGATCTTGTACATTTTTTTTGTGCCAAGAACAAGAGTTAGCAATCAGTCTCAGCTTCCACCACACCAAATTTTAGCACAATATCTGTAAAATTGTTTTAATCATTTATGTTTGCTAACTGTCTCAGGCAGCCATCTTGAATTATGTTGCTTCAATATCCACTTGTTGAGGAACATCCAATGATTATAACCTGAAAGTTTTGCCAAAATCTGTTAAGTTTCAGAAGATATTTTGCTAACAGACATCATTGATATTAGGGGTGCAAAGATTGCATTTTTCTGGCCGATCACCGATTTCTCAAAAGTCTGACCTGCCGATACGATTTTGTTTTATAAGCGACACTGTCAGGAGTTATAAGGTCACAATGTACATTCAATTTTACTATATTTTTTACTGAAAAACATACCCTTGAACAATATCATAGAAACAATACAAACTTGTTTTAACTGGCCATGAGGTAGTTGCTCTGAAATATAAATGAAGTTCAGATAATTGTTGTTAAAACTAAAAAAAAATTGGTGAAATCAGTTTCTCATGCAAGTATCGGCTGATTTCCACAAAATAAGGAAATCGGGGCCGATTTATCGGTGCACCCCTAACTGATTCCAAATAGTTCATGAAAAGTCCTGCATGCTCCATAATCCAGGTAGATGATGTCTCTTTTGATGTCACATCACTCTTTACTTCCTGCTGATGATGCAGTAGAGGTGGTCAGTTTAAGATTAAAATCAGACACCACTCTGAGCAGCAGGACCACACTTTCCACAGAACAACTGTGTCAACTCTTGAAACTGTGCCTGCAGTCAACCTACTTCACATATGGGGAGCAATATTATAGGCAGAAACATGGGTGTGCTATGGGGTCTCCAGTTTCTTCTATTGTTGCCAACCTGTACATGGAGGAGGTAGAAAAGAGAGCCTTGACGTCCTTTTCAGGGACACCACCAAGTTATTGGTTCAGGTATGTTGACGACACCTGGGTTAAAATTAAATCTCAGGAAGTCCAACATTTTACTGACCACATCAACTCTGTGGATAAATACATCAAGTTCACACGAGAAGATGAAAAAAATGGCAGGTTGGCTTTCTTGGACTGTGAGGTCTCAGTCTCTGATAGAGGACATTTGCAAACTGAGGTGTACCACAAACCCACCCACACAGACCAGTATTTACAGTTTGACTCCCATCACCCTTTGGAGCACAAGTTAGGAGTCATCAGGACTCTGTATCACAGAGCAGACAGCATCCCCACTAACTCAGGAGCCAGGCAGAAGGAGAAATCCCACACAAGATTGGCTCTAGAGCAATGTGGATATCCTAACTGGGCCTTCCTGAAAGCAGAGAAGAAACCCAAACAGGACTCCAGTCAGCCATCAGGTGAAAAGGAGGAGCCCAGACCAGTGGTCATTCCATATGTTGAGGGAGTATCAGAGAAACTGAGACGTTTATTTTCTAAACATAACGTCCCAGTGGCTTTTAAACCCCAAAATACATTAAAGACTGGTTCATCCCAAAGATCCAGTCCCCCGGCACAAACAGAGTAATATTGTGTATGTTGTTCAGTGTCAGGAAGGTGATCAGTCTTTCATCGGGGCAACTAAACAGCCACTGGCCAAAAGGATGGACCAGGTCTCCAGTCCATCACAGGGACACAGAGACAAATGAGACAAACAACCATTCACTCTCTCACCTAGGGACAATTTAGAATTACCAATCAGTCTAACATGCATATTTTTGGTCTGTGGGAGCAAACTGGAGTACCACAAGAAAACCCACACAGAACCGAGAGAACATGCAGACTCCACCCAGAGAGGACCCCGGCTGGGATTTGAACTGGCAACCTGCTCGCTGAGAGGTGGCAGCTCTATAACTGAGCCACCGTGCTGCCTGAAGGTTAATATTGAATTAAAAATAATATTGAATTAAAAAATAATATTAACCATCATGCCACAATTATAATCCAAAATATAATGTGGATTTGTGAAGACTTTCCTCGTTTAAAATGAATTATTAAATAAAAAATAAAGTAACTCAACCTATTTCTGTCACACGAGACTCTGTAAAACAGTCAGAACAATGAATGAAACAAACTATACAGAAATGAGTACATACACTTGGAATGATGGAAATAAACAGACAGCAGTGTTCAAAATAATATTTTTACAGTTATGTAAAACTGGACTCATAGTTTTATTTTGAGCATAGACATCACGACAACATTATGTTGGAATTTTGAGCAGGAGCTGCAAACCCTTCAAAATGTTACCTGCTGTATATCTTTTATCCTTATGTACTGTTTCCTTTTATACTTTGTATTTTTTTCTATTTTTGGGTGTAACTGGGACCTTGAGTACATAATTCTGTTCCTCCTCATGTACCACATGTGATGAAATGACAATAAAGAACCTGGACAACATTTCCAGTTGCCTGTTGCCCCAACAGTGAAGGATGAAAACATCTGCATATCTCTCTGTGTGTTTGTGTAGCTAGCTGCCTGTTAGCAAAATAACATTAACCAGCGAATGAATTCTAATGAAACTTGTGGAAAGTAATCACTGGATGTGTCTACAACTGAGTCTCTTGATTCAAGATGGCCAAAACAGCCACATAAAAACATAAAGGTAACTATAACTCAGCCAATTTCAGACATTGAGCTAAACTTTGGTGTGTTAGTAGCTGACAATCATTCCATCACACTTTGATTGATTAGGAGTTGTGCTTTCCCTGGTCTCTGTCTCCCTCTAGTGTTCCATATTTGTCTGTTCCCCCTCTGATGTCTGCACCTGTGATGTTTCACAGGTGTTCTGTGTTAGTCTTGTTAGTGTGTGTGTATTTAAGTCTGTTTGCCTGCGTCCCTCATTGTCTCACTGTGATGTCTGTCCTGCTCCTTGTGTCCTGCTCCTTGTGTCCTGCTCCTTGTGTCCTGCTCCTTGTGTCCTGCTCCTTGTGTCCTGCTCCTTGTGTCCTGCTCCTTGTGTCCTGCTCCTTGTGTCCTGCCCCATGATTTATGTAAGTTTGCTGCCCCGTCAGCCATCTTTATTTTGTAAATAATAAATTATTGATTTATATTCTTTGTCTTGCCTGCCTGCACCAAATGGGTCTCCTGCCTAGAAATCATCACAGAATGACCAGACCATGGCACAACAAGAAGTAGCCTGACCAACATCTCTCCTTGTGTGAATAGAGCACGCTCAACTTCCCTCAGCGTCCTAGTCACAGTCTAAGAAACACAGTGTAGCCCAAGTTAACTTTTAGGAAGAAAAAAATCACTAGAAAATGTAATAATCACTCCTTCTTACCAATGGCATATCATAAAGCAATATGATCATCATCCATCATGTTTATTAGTAACTTAAAATACCTAATTAAAACTCCAGTAATGGGCTAGGTCTACTGTAACCTTACCCAGTTGTATAGGGTCAAGAGACAAACATGTAGCATTAACACAGTATGAACAACATTCAGGAAATATTTCTTTAAGAACATTATCAAATATTTTACGTGAACAGTAAGATCACTCCTCCCATGACCAAATGTAACCCAGGGTGAGCTAAACTCGGACAAACAAACAAACAACATGGCTGTAATGTGGAAATAGTGAAGCTCACAGTGTTTAGTGAGGCATTTCTGCCTTATCAGCCAACAATAAGGCAAAGAAGACAGACAAAATAAAATAAAATCTAAGCTACTAATAAAGTCAAATAGTTACTGTAGCAGATGTTTTCAATTAAATTTAATTCAATTCAGTTTATTTATATAGCGCCAAATTACAGCAAAGTTGTCTCAGGGCACTTTACAGAAACATTCACATACATAAAAGCCATTTAATAAAGTTCATGCCACAGAGTGACACAGAGCAAGAACTCACAGTGAAATTCATTATCTAAGAGTGTAAATTTTACATTACACAACCTATTAAACACTTTGTACAAAATCAATTTAGTGTTAACTGATCATAAACAGGGCAGCATGGTTGCGCAACTGGTAGAGCTGCTGCCTCTCAGCGAGCAGGTCCCTGGTTCAAACCCCGGTCCAGGAGCCTTTCTGGGTGGAGTTTGCATGTTCTCTCCGTGCATGCGTGGGTTTTCTCCGGGTACTCCGGTTTCCTCCCACAGACCAAAAACATGCATGTTAG